CGCCCCGCTCCCGTCCCCCCCCCCCCCCAGCTTGGCAACCAGCCCTTCCCAGCGCTGCGGGAGAGCTGTGTGTGCCCATCCCCGTGGCACCAGCCTTCCTCAAAGGTCTGCTGGCTCTGGGGACTGACCTGTGGGGAGTGGAAGGTGCCGTGAAGTCTCCTCTGGAATGTCCCTCCCGCCCCGGACTCCAGCTCCTCGGCTGGAGGAGGCAGGACAGGAACTTCCCCGGAGGGTTTGCTGCTGGCAGATCCCACGTTATTTTCCACAAGGAAGTGCCAAGAGTTGCCTGAGTTAAAAGAGGGTCCCTGTCCCCCAGCTCTGCCTTCCCCTCCCCATGCTTGTGAATATCTTGGTTTGATGTCATCTCTATTTACGTTTCATTCCAGCCCAGCCAGTGGTGAGAAGGAGAACTGGGAGAGATCTGGGATTTTCCACGTGCTCCCCCAGATGCTCTGGCCTCTCTGGGGACATCCCTGTTGCCCTCAAGCAGCTGAAACACCCCAGCTGCTCACCCAGCCATTACCCACTGGCTTGGGCAGGTTGTGGGGGGCAGGTTGGGACGTGCATCTCTGGTTGTAGGGATCTGGTTTTAGGACTTGGTCCCATCCCAGCCCCCAGCACAGCCTCTGGCTCACCTCAGCCACCTCCAGAATCTTTGGGATCTCCTAAACCTCTCTGCAAATCCCAGCCCGAATTCAGCTTTGTGCTTTTTTTTTTTTTTTTTTTTTTCAGCTGAGCAAATCTGGGAACTGGTCATTCCCCAAGTTGTGGATCTCTGGAAGAAGTTGTTTCAGTCAAGCAACTTTAGGGGCAGCTTCATCCAGAGGAGCAGCAAGCAGGGGGATGTGGAGCTGGCAGGGTGGGAAGGACCTCACGGGTCTCCCTGCTCTGGGTGTCTGGACTTGGTCTGGGGATGCCTGGAGGGAAACACTTCCTCTCTCCAGCTGCTTTGGATTGAAACACCAGCCCCCTCCCTCCTGGATCTCCTGCTGTGCCCCAGCAGCTGAGATTAATTAGTACAATTAGGAGATAAAAGCCCAGTCCCGGGGGGGAAGGTGGGATATAGTTAGGGATGTTCTTGGCTGGTCGGGTAGTGCTTCTTCCTCTGCTATGGATGCTGCAATCCTGCTGGAGAAGCTTTCAGAAATAAAAGCTGCCAAGGTGAGGGGGGTGGGAGAAGCACCTGCTGTGGGGACAGGGCTTTCTGTGGCCACCACCACGGGGCTTGCTCAGGTATTGGACCCGTGGCCACCCTGGCTCTGCAGTGCAGGTGCTGTTCCTCCCCCGTGCCATGCCCTGGGGCTGGGCTTGTTGGTTTGCTCCTCTGGGGAGAGGGGAATTACTTAATGGGTGGTTTTGGTGCCTGCCAGGGGAGTGTGTGTGTGTGTGTGTGTGTGTAATCAGGGCTGGGCTGGGAATGGGGCGGGGGGTCCTGTGCCCTGCCCTGCTGGCCATGGGGAGGGGGCTGCACTGTGAGTGACCCCGTGGGCACCAGATCCCCTCCTGCTTTCCCGGTGGTGGATCCCGAGGAAGCTCAGGGTGGCCCGACTTGGTGGGTCCATGGCCCCAGGGTCAGCCCTTGGGGCAGCACCCATGGGAGGGTTCCCAGGGGTGAGCTGCACCCTCGGCGCTTGGCACCCTGCTGTGGGGGTGGGGAGGTGGTTCCCAGCTCTTGGAAAGCCGACTTCTCCCACCGCAGCTCCGCCCGGAGCCTGGCAGAGGACACCAGGCTGCGGGGACGTGCCAGACCCCCGCGGTGCTACCCGGGGGGTGGGCTGGGTGCCTGGGGAGCAGAGCACCCCTGCAGGGAGGTAGGGACCCCAGCAGGGCAGGGCGGGACGGCTGCCCA